TCTTCCGAGCGCCGTACCCTACAGGTACTTTAATTAAGTCTGGCTGGTCTGTAATAACTATTTACATTTTTCTACAAATACTAAAAAGTGAACAGTTTGTGCCATTAAGATGGCATGTAAAAATATTTAACACATATCCATATTTGCACAGTCCCAAGTGTATCTACAGTCAAAATTTGCATCTCTGGTACTAGTCCAGATAATGTGCACATTAAAATCCTCACTGACAGTTCCCTTGGATGGATCCAGTTACACATTTTCTGCTACTAGTCTCACATATTACTTATAAGCAGCAGAAGCTTGCCTTGCAGTCAGTTCGGTTCAGCTCATCTTTCTTCCTTTCTAATCAGACTATTCCATCTTGTTTCACTTAAATTAGGTGTTTAAATTTGCAGTCAGCCACCCGGAAAATGCACCAGTTCTTTGGAAAGAACTAGTAGAACACCTAAAATCATGCTCGGAAATTAGTGAACACTACAAATTCACAAATATTTTAAATTGCTCAAGATTTATATATTGCTCTTTTATACGTGGGTAATATTGTACAGTAATTTTGGTGCAAATGTTTTAACAGAATTTATTCCTATGGGCTTTTTTTGAAAGTCCCACTTTGCTCAGGATTATGTGCACACAGCAGATAGCATTTCTGAATCCTGTGACAGGGCTGAACTTGCTGGTGGAGGCTTATACAAGCTGACTGTCATGATAACAAAGACGATCGTGATGATTTTACAAATAGCACCTGGAAGCAAAAGAAACAACAGGACAGCTCTTGCTGAAAATCACCTTCAACAGCAAAGAGTATTTGTTACTTGTAAAACTTCACATAGCAGGCTACACTGAAAGACTTTAATTGGATGTGATCAACTTCAGGGAACTTTGGATAAACTACAGAGAGTAGGTTTAAAAAAGTCTTACAGTTGCCTGCTGGTTCTTGCTTGCAGCAGCTATTTCCATTCCTTCAGCCTCTATTTCTGTCCCCCATGGCAGCCTGAAGTAAACAGCTCCCTTACTTCTTGTTTCATTACTATTATTTGCCTTTTCAACATTCTTGCCCCACACACTGCAGCTCCCCAAGTACAAACCTGTTAAGTATTCAGCCCTCAGCTACCTTAAAAAAAAGCCCTTTAGCACTTCACTGATACCAGGTGGTGTTTGTGCAAAGACAGATTAGGAGGGGTTGTCTTCAGTCACTGAAATATGCCTGAAAGATACTGAAACCTCAAGTTGTTTGCTCTGCTTTTTCGAGTTTGAATATTAGCTATTAGCAGTTCAGTTTAGGCAGTTTGAGTGCGATGACTATCACAAAACAGGACAACTGCAACTATCACACATGCAAACTTACTCCCAAAATACTCATGCACACACTACCCATGCACACACACCTAAAGGAAATTGCTACACAAGCTGAGAAGATTTTGACCAGCGTTTAGAGATATCTTCAAACCTTTATATTAAGATTAAAAAAAAAAAAAAGATGCGTGACAAGAGTGAGAAAAGGCCTCAGACCCTAAGTTGCTGACAAGCCAAGAGAAATTAGACTGAGATGTCTGCCAATTCTGTACAGTTCAGAGAATAATGTGAGGAGACTGAAGAGCAAAACTACTTCAAAATCTTATGTCACACAATAATCTTCCATTATCCATTTTTAATAACATCTTGGTGGGGTCTTTCTCCTTTTCCGATGTTTTGCTTTTTGATATTTTAAGACATCCCCATTGATATTTTTTTTTATTTTTACTTTAACACTGCTGTTAAGAAAGCTTATAAAAGTTTAAAGGTGCCATTCTAAAATAGCCTTGTTCCCATCTAACAGTCAAGAACATTATAATCTATTATCTTGCACACATAATTCATATGTAGAAGAGTCACTTACTTATACCCATCAGCAGATAGGCCATTCTTTCATTATCATAAACCCAACAGGCTCCTTTAGTTTTACATTCATTAATATCCCATAGAGAACAACTGTTGTCTATTGCCACACCAAACAATATTGGTCCAGGAATAGTACCTAAAAAAGAGAAAAAAAGAAAAAAAAAGTGACATGATAGAACATTTGAAGTCCCTGGAATTAGTCTTATTTATTTGATGTGAATGGAGACAGTGAAACTCCAAAGTGGTGGGGAATATGAGATCCATACCCTGTAAACATTTTAGCCAAAGTCATATGGTTCACATTGCATAGCAACTATGCCTCTTCCATTGATCTCAACTAATAGGTAGCATGCATACAGTAATTGACTTTTTTTTTTTCTTTTTTTTAAGTAAAAGCTTTCTTCAGAAGGCTGAGCTTCTCGCAACTTCCTAAGCTTTCACAGGAAGATAAAAGTATGAGTAAAACCTTTGTTGGGTAGAGGCAGAAATAATCAAGGAAGTAGAATTCTAACCAAAGAAAAAGGCCCTTTCTTCAGATAAAATATACCAAACAGTTGCAAATGAAAAGGAAGATACTATATTCAGTTTTATATTATTTTTCCATCAAACATATACAAGCTTGGGGGGGGGAGAATGTGGAACAAGTATTGAAGTTATTCCTTTTTAGAATTCAGTGGATTTACATGATCTCTCGCAATTCTTTAGATGCAAAACATCTGTGCTTTGCAAGTATAGCCCATGTTACTGCAAACACCCTAGGTACACACAGCATGTTTACCCACCCTACTTAAGGCTTAAGTTGATCTTACACTAACAAGCAGCTATATCTTCACTGCAGCTCTTCTACCTAGGATCCTGTGTGCTATCTAGATTCTGTGGAGAGGGAAGAAGTCAGGCTGGGCGTTGATAAAGCTTATCTGACTTGTTGGCAGCAATGCTGCTAGGCACTGCCTTCTTCAGGTGCAGTCACTGGGCACCAAGGCCTGCCCTCTGCTCCACAGTGGAGTCCAAGTACTAAACCAGAGATGGCACCTGCCTTTTAACGAGTCTTAAAGCATCACTTTTAAAGTTGGAAAAAACATCAGGAAAGTAGGTAAGAGACAGGTATTTCAAAAGGAAGTCATACCCAGCAGGCATAGAAATACTGACTGGACTCCAAGGGCAAATGAGCACTGTTTATCTGGCACATACCTGGAAAAGAGATTCAGAGTCTAAGGCCTTATTTACCAAGTTTGGGCTTGAGGAACTTGGAGGAGTTTTGATCCTAAATAAATATGCTTTCTCTTAATATATGCTTTTAACTTGTTGATTGAAGATCTTAGAAATCCAGAAATTAATCTTAGAAATTAAAATGGCATAAAATAGAAGCCTACTAAAAAGATATTAGAATGTGATACTTTCTTCACATTTAGCCATTTAAATGAGTTCTTGAATATTCAAACTGTGCTATTACCTTCCCCATAGAAACTGTTTCACCATTTTAGTTGAAGTGCAGGAAGCTTCCAAAACTCCAAGTGCTATTACTTAAAATTCACTACAACTGCCAGCTCTGTGTTTGGAGCACATGGCAACACTTCACATTATCCTGCCCCCAGACTAGCATGGCAAGCTGTTAAATGCCTATTTACACCAATCCTGAACTGGAGGGTACTACAACTAACAAGGTTACAGTATCTCTCCACCTTGCCAGCCTAAAAGGCTGGAAAAATAGGATCTTAAAAAAAAAAACATTCTTAAAACATAAATGCACAGTATTTCTAAGTCTGTACATCATAACCACTTTATTCTTCTACTTAACAGGTATCAGAGGTGCAAGTCAGGTCTTGATTTAAAGTGAAAGCAAATTTTCAAACAGACCAATTAATACCAAAATGTATCCAGCTTTGGTGTAAAAACCACTTTTGGTGTAAAACCTCTCAAATCACTCCTTAACAGGCACATATATGTCACCACATTTTATATTAAGAGCTACCGCAGAATTCCAGTTTTACAGCCTTAGTATCATATGTAAGGCAATAGAGATTGTGACAGTCTTCAATTTCTAAATTCAGGACTCGATCTGAGTTTGAGACAGGAATCCAAGGACAAGATGATCAATTGCAGATAATTCTTCCTCTAAGTACAGAGAGGACCATTTTTATTTTAATTTGTGCAATTTCAAGTCTTGACCCAATACCATAAACAGTATAACAAAGTTTTATTCAACCAAACACATGGTACATTTATTCTTTTCTCTCTTTTCACTAGAGAAGAGCAAATGAATATGAAGAACATCTACTGTTGCACCTTGCGAAAGAACGGACTCAGTCTGGGATGCAGAGTGAGACAACTTTATTCTCAAACCAACTCCTTTTATACTCTTTTAACCAAGTGTTGCTAAAATTACAATCAATCAGCATCCTGCCAGCCGTGCAGTTGTGGTTATCTTCTTCTCCTTGCTTTGTTCCTCATCTGCTGACAAGACATTCCACACGTGGTTGTAGTCCTCCTCCTTTTCCTGCTTTGTTCTTTGCTGATAAGACATTAGTCCTTGCGGGTCAGCCCATCAACCGTGCACTGCTAAGGCATTCTTGCGATTAACTATCTACTAACAAGGCATCTATTATCTACTGACAAGGTACTATGCCTCCACAATCTACTAATCAAAAATAAGGATAGAGAGACAGTTCTCTTTGTCAAGCACTGACAGCTTACTACATAAAGTACTAAAACACAAAATTCATTGCACACTGATTTGAGTCTATACTCTATAGGAAAAAGAATGAAGATTTTACCAATAGGAGTTTTCTTAGAAATTCATGTTACCTACTTTTCAGTCTAAAAGACATACATGAGAATGGCCACAGTGGTTGGAGTAACAGCCATAAAGGTAAATACAACAGCAAAGAAGAAGAATGTCAGAAATAAAGGCAAAAGTTTGCATTGTACTGGAGATTTCCCAGGGATAGCTTCATACAGAAAGTCCTCTGAATTATTTTCTTTTTCTAGTTTCCCAATATAGGAACAGTTGTAGAAAGTCTGTAAATCAGAAAGCAAATGTCAGCTCTCTATGACACTGACTAAAACTAAGGCAATAGATGTTGAGGAGTCCTGTATCCCACTGGGCACAAGAACAAATAACAATAGTATGGAAAATGCATCACATTTGGATCACATGACACTGCAACCCTTATATATTTTGTAAGTGGTTCAGGAGAACTAGGCTAATCCAGTTTATTTGAGCAATAATTATGTTCGTAACTTAAAAAGATGGTGTATGCCTGCCATTTTCTGGGCAACAAGTTTTTAGGTACAAGCATGAGAAATCTGAAAAGGAATCCTTCACAATCAAAGTTTTACCTTCTTTATTTAAATCCATCTGTGTTTATTACAAAAGAATAAATAAGTGAAATTAAGATACCCACCGGAGGGAGTAGCTAGTTTCTCACATGTTACTCTGAATAATACCTGTTATCTTGCTTATATCTTATCAATGTTCATTAATATCTGATGGAAGGCTGTGAGGAGGATGGGGCCAGACCCTTCTCAGACTTTCTCTCTTCTCTCGTCCTGGCCACTGACAGGACAAGAGACAGTGGGCCCAGACTGAAACACAGTAAATCTCACTTCACTACCCACAGTTCAATCTTTTATTCCCTGCACTCCTTCCATACCCTTGGTCAGGGGCTTCTTGTGCTAGTAGAGATAAGCACATTTGCAACAAGAAACTGAACACCTAAAAAACATAACACTCATTCTATTGACAGATGTCTGCTTCAAAGTTGACATTAAGTTTTCCTGCAGTAGCAACCACGCAGATTAAGAAATATTGTGGTTTGCTGTCTAGGGAAACAGCATTTTCCATTTATTTGCATTTATACTGCATGAATCTCAAACAGTATCATCTACCTTCAGTGAAACATATATGATAAGATACCTTTTTGTTGCTGTTGGAAAAGTGTGCAGTACATCCTGCAAAACAGGGAGAAAAATACTGGACCTCATCTCTGCCACAGACTGGGTAATACATGGAGTGCAAGCATCTGCAGTCAGCATTGCAGGGTGCTGTTAGGTTATGTAACATGCCTGTCCTGAAAGATAAAGGTTAACAGTAGTTTAAAAACAGTAGGCATGCAAATAAGTAATGCAGAATTTATAGGTTCACAAATCTCGAGGTATTTAGTTCATGTGATTAATTCACTTTCGTGTTTAAAAATAAAGCTATGATCCTAGTAGCTACAAATCTAAAGGGGGAATTCCATCTATTTTGGGCCTTGTTATCTTTACTCTATCGTGACTCCCATAGATATCTCCAATTTCCATTCCAATTAAGAGAGGAAGGAAATTCCACATTCCATCCCATCCCAGTTCTCTTGTATCTCTCCTCCATCCCACACACATACACACTTTAATTATTACAACTCTCATTTTTACCTAAAAAATAACAAGATTTAAAATAGTGCGCATCTGGTAATGTCTACTTTGATCATAAAGTCATTTTTTGTTTTAGATTCAAGTCCAACTGTAAATTCATTGTGTTTCTACTTCTTTAAAATCCTGCTAGGCAGACACCTGGACTGTTCCAACACCAAGAAGGCTGTGCCCACTAACTGCAGGGTGCTGTGAGAAAGTCTTATCTCAGCCAAAAAAAGCCTTAAAGATTTGTCTCATCTGATGAGAACACTAATCAAGATAAGAGTTTAACTTTTAGATACTACGACTGAGGTTGGTATTTTAGTTCCAGTATAAGACATAATAGTGCCAGATGGATCACCTAGGTTTCTTCCAAGGAATTTAAGGTGGTCACCAGTACTGACAGTGGAAATCATTTAGCTAGGAATTGAACAAAGGATTCATCAAAAAGACTTATTTGAAGTGATTAACAGATTATCATAAACCCTATCCATAGCATCCTATGTTTAGAGCATTAACACGCTAAGCACAGTTAAGATATACTTTACTTTTTACCTATGTAATCTCCAAAGTCTCAGAGGGACTATGAGATACAAAGAGCTTTATACCCTCCCTACCATTTTTCATCTTTTAGAAAAAGAACGCTTGCCATGAAGGCTCTCTTCAGTCTTCAAAGAGAGTCTGCATTGACTTGCAAATCAACTATCAAAGCATCCTTGTAATTTATTTTTTTCAGAACCTAGTGCTTCATTTGTTCAGTAATATAAGCAAGAGCCAGTCTCGGCTATTCTCTCATTCGCTTATGAATTTTACTGCATATTTTAATTGCCTATTCCTTCAGGCAAAGCAATTTCAGAAGTGGCACTGCATCAAATCTTCTGATGCATGTCTGGCATCAGGTCAGCTACATGTCAACACATAACAGTGAACTAGAACAATTCCTCATAATTGATACGGAGTGTAAAATGCCTTGTTTATTTCCCCCAGGACTGATTAATTCCATATTGCTCTGGATAAGAAATCAGCAACACTGGAACAGTTACAGCTATATAACTCAAGTTATACAGAGTTCTTAACTTAAAAGTTCACTTAAGGGGGGAGGGAAAAAAAAAAAAAGCTGTTCATCTGTACTTTTTGCACCTTTAGCTTCTTATCACCAGAGCACCTGGTACAGAATTAAGGCTAGTTTCATATTCATCTTTCTATATAACCTCTTTGGTATTGTTACATGCAGATTTTCTTGCTCAATAAGTATCTATAAACTTAAAACCAATGTTTGTATCAATTTTCACAGCTGTAGGGAA